ACACACACACACACACACACACACACACACACACACACACTTACAATAACCAATTGAAAACACTTTTGAGGATTCCAACCTTGACCCATTGACTCTGAATCTGTGTGACAAATCCAGTGGATTGTCTTCCTGCATTATTTCCTTGGTTCTGTGTGTGGCATTGTTCTAGAGAACAGTAGAAGTTTGAACACTTCATGCTTAATTCAGCCCTAACCAGGCTGTGGGCAACAGACTGTCTTGTTCAGTCTTGTGAAACATCCCATTCATTTCACATGACCAACTCAAGTGTTACAATCTGATGGTCATGGAGAAGGCTTCTAAACGCAGGGAGGGACCTTATACTACTCCCATGTACATACTTCACATCTCAGACAGTGTCCTGCACACAGATAGATACACACCTGGAAGTTCCCAGTCTTAACATTCAATTCCAAGGAATTTTAGTCTTATATTTAACTTTAGTCTTTCTCTGTTACTTTTAGAAAAGAGAAACCACGAGCGAGTAAACCTCAAGTTAGAATCACTGCTGAGGTCTAGAAACTTCACTGTTGTCATTTTAAGCACCCTCAACAACCACAGACCTCACTAGGAAGTTACAGTCTAAGATGATGCTGTAGTAAGATGTGTTAAGATGGAATTATAACTGACTGAGATGACTATGGTCATATTCTCCAGGTCACATGTTGTTCCCATGATTTATAGATGCTTTTACTGCTAAAATATCCCGTGAGTCTGCTGAGCCACCGCATTAAATCTGATCTTTCATTGAGAAAGAAAGAAAAAAGGTCTTATACAAACAAGGCAGAGAATGATTAAAAGGGCACGAGAGCAGAGACAAGGAATCATGTTTTCCTTCCAACAACCAGAGGATTTGTAGATGTTTAACATGAACTACTGAGATGTGCATGGGCTAATGTCCCCAGCAGAATTATTCTCTGCAGTGCAGGCATGCCTCATTAGCTTTGGCAGCACTCTGCACTCTACATTCAGGAGAGGCTGGTATGTGAGAAAAGACGATATAGAGGGGTGCTTTAAAAGTTCTGCCTTGGAGACTGGCTCAATGGACAAATGTGCAAAGGCCAGAGTTTGGAAACTCAGCATCTGTGTCCCCCTGTAATGATAGCACTCAGGAAGTAAAAAGATGAGAGTCCAACCGAAATATAGATAGTCAGATCAAGTGAGAGACACTGCCTTAATGTATTTGGTGGAGAGGGATTAAGGAAGAGATGCAACATCCATCTCTGGCCTCTGTGCGAGCATACATGCATGCATTCTTCTCCACACAGGAAAACATTAATATACACATGCACGGAGAACATACACATACACATGATAAAAGAAAATTCCTTGTGGTACCAATGCTTTCCAGGAAGTAAATACCATTCCTGGCAAGGAACCATTTATTTTTGCTGAAAAGGGGGGAAATAGAAACCTTAACTATTTGAATTCTGTAATTAATTAAAAACAAGTGACATTCATTTTTCTCATTTTCTGTGACATGTGATTGAGTCATTCTGAAATATATCTGAATCATGACATTGTTTCACCAATGGCTTTAAATGTATGCAACTTGTCTCATGGCTGTTATACACAGCAGGATTACTTGCACAACATTCTCATCTTATCACACGTTCATTAGAAAATGTTACAGCTTAAAAGCTATTTTTTTGGGGGGGGATGGATACCAAATTTCTTTATTTGAAGGAATGATACAGATTAAAGAACTTCAGTGAACGTTTTGGAGCAACATACAGAAAAAGCTAAGGCAGCCCTTACCTGCATGTGCTGTCTTGGTGACCAGTGACATCATTACACTGTCTTGGGAAAGTCAGCTTAGCTCTCATCACCTTGTCCCAGGGTATTCTTGCAAAGATATATTCCCCCATGCCTGATTCGGGGTCTCACATCTTTCTCAAGTTGGTTACATGGTGGTTCAGTAACCTGGATTTTACCTGCTCGGTCAAGTAGTGATTCTCAATGCAGTCACATAAGTGGGGTTGGTTTTTGTCAGTAGCCAGTTTGTACAGTTCCAACAGTGACTGATTCGCACACTCTTTTGTCAAGGACAGCACATTCAGCTTGCCCTCCCAGTCATCACGGTCTAGTTTCTTGACAATCCTGCAGGCAGGTTTGGGTACTTCCTTAGTGTTGCAGCTTCACAGCTTCGTTAGTTTCTCAGCGTGCTCGCTCTCCTCATGAGACTGGTGGAAAAGTATTTAGGAAAAGTTCTTTAGAGCCACACCATCCTGGTCGAAGTATCAATGTAGACAGATAGACACAAGAGACATTTGGCTCCAGGTTCATCTGGCATTTAATGGCAGTCCTGGCGGCAGCTCTGGCACACTTGTTAGGGAATCACTATGGTCACTGCCCATGAGGTGGGGCGAGACTCTGTGGCGATTTTGGAGCAGTGGCTAGGGAGTGCTTTGGGGCGTGTGAGGTATCTGAGGTCTCTGGTTTGCATCATCTAGTTGGGGTTGGCTGGCTTGAGTGCCTGGTTCTGTTCAAGAACTGTTGAACCACAGCGACTCTGGGCCAAGAACCTCAGGCCTTAAAAATGTTTTAGAGTGGCACATAATATTGGTACAAAATTATGAGTTATAATGTGATGTTTTGATTCATGTATGCAACATCTAATTCTGAAGCATATTACATAACAAGTTTTTTTTTTATAACATTTGTGGCAAGTAGCCAAGAAAATACACAAAACCCACTAATTGATGGCAGTTTGTGTAAAGAATATGACAGAAAATATAAAGTATCTTTCAAATGCATGTGGGTTTATATTTCATTAATAAAACAAAATTATTGACCATAACTTTAATAATCAAGTATTTTGGTGCTCAGTGTACATTCAAGTGATAACTATTCTACTTCTACTGTAGGTGGAAACTTGAAGATCAATGTTCTCATTAATAGGATTTTCACATGCTGGGTTTTTCGAACCATTAGGGAAGGGCAGGATTGTAAAGAACACAGCATGCTTGCTGCCATCCCCACCTCCCACATTCACAACAGCTGCTGATGCTTTTTCTGGTCTCAGCATCCTTAGGAGGCCTTTATCAGTTCATTAGTGATAGCAACAAAACCCTTACATTTTCATCTCAGTTCAGGGTTTCATTCTGTCTTAACCAGTATGTGAGATCCAAAGGCCATGCAGCAAAATTTATAAAAATTTCATGCATTCTCCTTAGAATTTCGGAAACTACTTGGCAGACCTTATATTTCAGGGAAATGAGTCTTAGATAGTTTTACTTTGCATTCTAACTTAAAAGCCTGTGTTTAATTGTCACTCAATGCAGGTAATTAAATGACAATGAATTTATCTTTTTCAACAATTATTGTAGATTAGTTAGTATGTTGACCTGAACTGAATATTTTTATTTGCCAGAAACTTACATCTAAAAATTTTCAGCATTTTTTTTCTCAGACAACTATTCTAGGGAGCAGTAAGAACTTTGACAAAATCCAACAGCCATTCATGATAAAAGTCCTGGAGAAGTTAGGGATACAATTACATGCTGGCATGTCAATAGCCAGCATCAATTTAAATGAAGAGAAACTCAAGGCAATTCCACTAAAATCAGGAACAAGGCAAGGTTGTCCATTTTCCATACTTAGTCAAGACAGTACTAGAAGTCTTCACTAGAACAATAAGATAAATGAATGAGATCAATGGAACACAAATAGGATGGAAAAGAGTCAAAATGCCTTTATTTGCAAGTGATGTAATAGTATAAATAAGTGACCTTAAACACTCCACCAGGAAAATCATACAGCTGACAAAAACTTTCAGAAAAGTAGCAGGTTACCAAAGTAACACACAAAAACCAGTAGCCTTCCTATATGCAAATGACAAATGGACTGTAATGGAAATAACATCTTTCTGGATGTAACCTCAAACAATATAAAATATTTTTGGGTAACTCAACTGAGCAAATGAAAGGCTTGTATGATAAGAACTTTAAGACAGAAATCAAGGAAACTCAAGAAAGAAACTGAAGAAGATATTAGAAGATGGAAAGTTCTCCAATGATCATGAATTAATATAGTAAAAATGGCTATTCTATCAAATGCAACTTATAGATTCAATGAATTATCAATTAAAATTCCAATACAATTATTAACAGAACTTGAAAGGACAATTTTTAGCTTCATATGGAAACACATAAAACTCAGGATGCCTGAAACACTCTTGAGTGAAAAACAAGCTCTTTTACTGCCATCCTAATCTCAAACTGTATTATAGAGTTGTAGTAACAAAAGCAGCATGGTTTTGCCACAAAACAGATACAATGATCATTGGGATCAAATTGAAAACCCAGACATAAGTCCACAAACATATTGAAGCTTGCTTTTTGACAAAGAATTTAGAAACACACACTGGGAAAATGATATTACCTTGAACAAATGGTGCTGGTCAAACTGGGCAGCTGTCTATAGAAGAATCCAAATGTGTCTATACTTATCACGTAGTATAAAATTCAAGTTCAAGTGAATCAAAAACTTCAACATAAAATCAGATAAACTGAACCTGATAGAAGACAAAGTGGAGGATGGTCTTGAACTCACTGCCATAGGGATAGGCTTTCTCAACAGAACACAGCACAGGCACTGAGATAGATCAACAGTTAACAAATATAACCTTATGAACTGAAAAGCTTCTGCATGGCAAGGACACCATCATTTGGACAAAGCATCAGCCTAAAGAATGGAAAAATGTTTTCACCAAATAGATATCCAATACAGGGCTGAAATTCAAAATATATAAAGAAAGAACTAAAAAAAAGTGGACATCCAGAAAACAAATAACCCAATTAAAAATGGTGTATAGATCTAAATGAAGTATTCTCAAAAGAGGAAACTCAGATAACTGAGAAGCACTTACAGAAATATTCAACATTCTTATCAAGGAAATGAAATTCAAAACTACTTTGAAATTTCATCTTATCCCTGTCAGAATAGCCAAGCTCAATAAAATAAATGAAAGCTCCTAATGATGAGTATGTGGAATAAGGGAATCACTCACTCACTTTTTGGAGAATGCAAATTTGTATAGCTACTATAGAAGTCAGTGTGGCAGTTCCACAGGAAGCTGGGAATATGGCTAGGATACAGCCATATTACTGGAGTACATAGCTAAAGGATGACTCTTCCTACTATGAAAAGACTTATGTAACCATGTTCATTGATGCTCTATGTGTTGATATTTTGTTTATGATATAAACATACGCTTGCCTGAAGATCAGAGTGCAAAGCTAGAGACACTGACTAGACATAGAGGACAGGCAGTGAGGTACACACCTTAACATCAGCATTTGGGAGACAGAGGCAGACAGATCTCAGTTCAAGGCTACCCTGAGCTCAACAAAATTGATCTAGTCTAAAAGAGAAACAGAGCTCACAAAAGGTGACCTCAGCACTTGAGATCCCACACCTTTAATCCCAGGACTAAAGAGAAATATAAGGCAGGAAGTGAGGACATTCTGAGGCTTGGTAGAGAGCAGTGCAATCAGGAAATGCAATCTGAGATTCAGTGGATTGCCCCTTCAGTCTAAACATTAGTAGAGGTGAGAAGTCTCTAGTGGCTGGCCACTCTGCTTCTCTGATCTTCAACTTTAACCCCAGTATCTGTCTCAGTATTATTTGTTATTAATACAAACTAGAATTAGTGCTGTAGATCTATTCATAATAGCCAGAAATTGGAAACATCTTAAATGTCTGTCAACAGATTGATGATAAATTAAATGTGGTATAATTACACAATGGAATATTAATCTTTTGGGGGGTTTTCAAGACAGGGTTTCTCTGTGTAGCTTTGGAGCCTATTCTGGCACTTGCTCTGGAGACTAGGCTGGCCTCGAACTCACCGCGATCCGCCTGCCTCTGCTTCCCGAGTGCTGGGATTCAAGGCGTGCACCACCAATGCCCGGCTTGGAATATTAATCTTTTAAAATGGAAATCATGAAATTCGCACATAAATAGGTGGGCCTAGAGAAAAGAAATCATCCTGAGTGAGGTAACCCAAACCTAGAAGGACAAATATAGTATATATTCACTTATATGTTGAAGTTAGCAGTTAGATCACTGATATGCAAGCTACAATGCATAGAACCACTGAAGTTAGGTAAAGAGTAAGTGACTAGTAGGGGAAGACCGATCTCCTTGGAAAGGTGAAACAGAACAGTTATGGATGGTC